CACAGTTGTGAGATCAAGCCCTAAGCTGGGTTCCACACTGAGCACGGAGCCTGCTTGGGATTGTCTCTCTCCCTCTCCCTCTCTCTCTCTCTCTCTCTCTCTCTCTCTCTGACCCTCCCCCACTCACGCTTGCTCTCAACATAAACTTAAAAAAAAAAAGTTAGAAAAATAGCTGAGAAAACAAAGAAATGGAAAATATACCAGATTTAAAATCCAAAGACCTGGGTTTAATTCTGGTTAACACCCATTAGTGCAACACCCAGTTTCCTCTCATAAAAAAGGGACAAATAATGCTCATACATTCATTCAGCAAGTATTTATTGAATAATACCCTCTACGTGCCATTATGTTGGCTAGGGAAACAACATAGATGAACACAGTCCCCAACCTCAAGGAATTTGTATTTTCCCTATCTCACAAGGCTATTGTTAAGATAAAATGTAAACACACTATGCAAACACACTACATGAAGTGCAAAGTGATATAATGATTTTATTAACTTGTTTTACCTCTTCATCACCCATCTTTACTACAACATTTAGAAAGATTCAATAAAGTCTAGATGAGCAGATGTAATAGTCCGCTATCTTACTTAACTGATTTTCTAAGGGCTGGAATTCAGGAGCCTAACAAATCACCATTAGTACAGTCTTTGTTCATAACTCTCAGTATAATCACGAAAATAAAATGAAACGAGAATTCAAGGCCTAGAACCTGTAGTGTCATCCAGGTCTGGGCTGGGTATGTGGGTTGTATTACCCACACCTGTCTGGCAAAGGGAGTAAAAAATAAACACTTCTAGGCCCCATGCAAGACCTACTGAATCATACAAAACCCTTAAAGGGTGAGCCCAAGAATCTACACTTTTGACAAGCACACCTAGTGATTCCTATGCTCACTAAAGCTCAAGAATCACTACCACAAAATTTTCTTTTGATTAATAACCATGATTTCAAACACTATTTCCAAAATCCATCTGGAAACTCTGGGCCAAATAGAAGTCAGCTACAAACGAGAAAGCAGTTCCTGGGAAGGTACTTAGCAGTCAACATTAAATGACTCACACTTAACTCATAAAAATACTTCTTGTGGCACCAACCTCTTTTTAATCCAAACTTTCACATAAAATGAAGCCCCACTCACCAAAAAAAAAAAAAAAAAAAAAAAAAAAAGGAAAAAGAATGCCCATGAGATATCCCTAAATTAACTCCAAATAAACAAATTTATATAGATACATATAACTTCAATTTTCTTTCTTTTTTTTTTTTTTTTTTTTTTGAGAGAGAGAGAGAGAGAGAGAAGGGGAGGGGTAGAGGGAGCAGGAGAGAAAGAGAATTTTACGCAAGCTCCACGCCCAGTGTGGAGCCCTATTCAGGGCTTGATCCCACCCAGGACCCTAGGATCAGGAGTTGGATGCTCAACAAACCTAGCCACCCAGGCCCCGCTACAGCTTCAATTTTTCTTATGGTTTAACTTTAACAAGGGGAAGGTGATGGGAATATTATCTTGTAGCTATCAAGAGGGAAGGCATATACTAAACCCGGCATGAATATAATCATGATTTTGAATGCATGCAAACCAATCTTTATCTTATTAAAGAGCACACTACCCAAATACCAAACTAGCCAAAAGACAAATATAATTCCTCAAAAATATGATGGTACCACAACCATATCCACTGTATGTTTAAACTCTCCTAAGGTCACCTCCAAGAAATCAGTCAGGAGTCCTTAGACTCCTACTTTAACCTTAAGAAAATTAACCTGAAATCAAATGTTACTTCACATACTATATAATTAGTGCAAAGATATATTTATTTTGGTTCTATTTATTCAAAGTATCCCTCCAGGTATACAGAGATCAAAGGGAAGACATTCAATATATGCTACACTGGGAAAAATTACAAGGTGGAGACTAACATTGCTAGTAGAAATCTTACCATCTGCAATAAAATTTAGAGCCCAGAGGGCTTGTTCATACTCTAGTACCAAAGAAATTGATGTTCTTCCTTTTGTCCAAGCCTTTCGTCCCTTAAATCTCAAAGTTGCACTCTTTTTTCACACCTTGCACCTCTATCAGTTGTCCAAACAACTGCAACATATGAAAACTGGAATAATCTGTACAGAAGGAAAACATCTAAAACAGGGACAAATCTCAAACAGCAATTATCAAGGTCCAGACATGCACCTATGACTTCTTACAAACTATGTCTACATAGTAATAATCTATCTGTGCCTAATCCTGATCCCACTTGGCACTTCATCAACATGCAAAACTCTCCTGGGACAACAGAGAAGTTAACTTAAGGAACTTGGATGGGAGACAAGAGAAAAACTCTTAAGGAGTGCTGTCTAAAGAATGCTTTATGAAAATTAGCATCAACCTAACCAAAAGCAAAACAAGTAGCAGGCACATATATCCATCAAGAATCATGTCTGTTTGACTTCTGATTTCTTCCTCTCACGTGAAAACCTAAGGAGATAATGGAGACTTTGGAGAAGGAAAGAGACTCTAGAACTGAGGTCTCAGAGAACTTGCTAACTTGCTTGACACTCTGTTGCAACTATCACCATTTCCACTCCAGTAGCAGAGAAGCTTCACAGAATTTGGAAATCAAAATAGTTGGAAGGTGAGAAACCACTGCCAGTAAGACGTCTGATCACCACCGCCTTCCAAAGAAAGGTTCTCTAAACAAAAAGGATTATTTTACCCTGCCCACTTTCTTGTCTCTTTTAAGACAAAGTTCTCCAGTCACCACCAGAATGTGCGAAAATTCAATGTTTTCTCCCTAGAAGGAGGGATGGGCCTGGACTGGAACATGGGCCTGAGGCAAGTCCTTCTACTTGTCCTAGCAGATCTGAGGTCTCCCAGTACCTAATTTAGATCTAGACTCTGCTGCAGAATCATAATAAAGGCAAAAAGCTACTATGTTAGTTCACATATATATATACACATATATGTTTGAAATGGTTGATCACGTTAGCTGTAGTCTTCCTCAGTTATTTATTTTCATTTAGTTCCTTTAGCTCTTATAAAGAGTAAATGATTTAGAACTTTATCAGAAATTTACAATTTTAAATAAAGACTTCAATTTTAAATTTAAAAATAAACAGCGGGATCCAAAGTTAACTTCCAAAGGGAAAGGAAAATGACAATTCCAAGAGCTTCTACCAGAAGGAAACATCAGCCACAGATTTTGAGTCATCTAGAAAGAAAAGAATTAGATGCCCAGGTATAAAGCAAAAGGTCACTACTGCATTCTTTATCTGAAGGCGCAGACGCCTGAGGATTAAGACTGTATTGCCAGAGAATAAGAAAAGAGCATACCAGACACTGATGAAAAAAGAGAGCATAAACGGAAGGTTTAATAGCTCCAAACACTTACTCTAGTGAGCCGCTCTTTCTTCAGAAGAGGAAACAGAATGAGTGGATACCGTAGAGTAAGAATGTCCAGGATAAGGGCAAGGGGCATAAGGTGGGGTGGATAAGGGGTGGATTCCTCTTTGGTCCAGATCTTCAAGATACTAACCTCTTTGAAACCCTGACCAAGCAAACCTACCACTTTACTAGAGGAGAGGCTGGAGGTTGTGGAAATTAGAAAAAACATTTATAAAAAATGAGAAAGACTTCATGAGGGCAAACCCAAGCCCTGAGGGAGAGGGCAAAAGTCTGAAAATCAAACAAGGTTCAGTAAAAAGGCGAGAGATCCAGGACTAAGGACTGCTGAGGAGAATGTTGATAATGAGAGCGTAAACCCCCCCACCAGTCCACCCGCAATCACCAAACGAATTTTTTTAATACAAAGTACAAAGTACAAAGCCACAACACCTGGATAAAAGGGTGGAGCGGGTCTGCGCGGAAACTGCAAGAAAGGCGGCATCCGGCTGGAGCTTTATAGGGATGCGGTGGGGAAGGGAGGATGGAGTGTGAGGGGGGAGGGGCTGCAGCAGGGAAGAGGATGGGTTGCAGCAGCAGAAGGGGCCTAAAAAGAGAAGGGAAAGCAGCCTGGAGGAGGGAAAGAACAGGATAAAGTCAAGCGCGGGATCACAAGAGGATAGAGCAGGAGAGAGGATGGAAAGACACGCCAGGGAAAAGGGAGGAGGCGGGAGACGCCAGAGAGGGGCATAGTTTGGGGAAGTGAGAAGGAAGGAGAGCTTCACCGTAAACTGACTTTTAGTAGGAGCATGGAGCGAGCAGGAGTGAAGACGGGGAGCCAGAACAGGGACTCTCCGAGGGATGTAGTGATGGGAGACTCTAGATTCAAAATCCTGGTGTAATACGGAAAAGAAACGACCGTGTCCAAGACACCCTCCCCCACAACCACAACCAAAACAAGGGCGTGCGAGCCAGGGTCAGAAAAGGAGGTACACTCTAGGGAGCGTGCATCCAAGAAGGAGGGGAGGAAAGGGACACACGGCAGGGTAGAAAAATGCAGGGGGTGCGTAACCAAAGGGAAAGGGTATCTAAGGAAAGAAAAAGGAGTGCAGCGGAAGGGTGCTGTTCCCAGGGGAAAAGTGGGAGCCCACCAGAGGTCCCGCCTACTTGGTCTAGGGGACAGAGGGGAGGTCCACAGGGGCGGCCGGCAGTAGTGGAGAACAAGAAACTATGATGCTGGAAAACTTGGGGAGGACACGACAGGGGCCGGGTCAGAAAAGGAGACGCTGTCAGCGAGGGGCAGAAAGCAGCATGCTCAGGGGGGAAGCAAAAGAGCAGAAAAGAAGACGAAAGAATGGGGGCAGGGGTAAAGCGGCGGGGGCGCAGGGACGTAAGCTAGTTACAGGGAGGGAGGTGGGGGTCGCGGAAACCCAGGGTGCGGGGAGATGAAAGGGTCAGCTCCCACGGAGGTGCGGGGTCTGAGGGGGACCGGGTCGCGAAGGCCGGTTCAGGGTCTGGGGGAGGGGGGGTGCGGCCTGAGGGCGACAGGAGTAGAGGGAGATGCAGGGACTGGCGGAGGAGACGGGGCGGGGCGGGGTGGGGCGGCGGGCAGCCCAGATACTCACACCTCCAGGATGCGGTCCCCCTTGCGCACCCCGGCCCGGTCGGCCGCCCCCCCGGGCAGCACGGCGCTCACATGCTGCAGCGGCGCGTACAGCTCCCCGTTGATGCTCCGCAGTTGCCCGCCCTCGCTCACTTGGCCCCGCACGTTGAAGCCGTAGCCGGACTCGGACTTGACGATGCGCACGACCCGCGGGCCGCCGCCTCCCCCGCCGCCGTTCCCCGCGCAGTGGAGCCCAGAGCCCCCACCGCCGCCGCCACCTCCGTTCCTGTGAGGGGCTGAGGGGTGAATCCCTTCCCCGTCCTCGTCCGCCATCTTGCGAGCGAGCGAGCCGTACCCCCGCCCCCCTACGCCTCCACTCCCTCCCCGCGCGCGCTCGCCCTTCTCGGCAGCCGCGCGACCCCCGGAGCGCGCGCCCGCTCCGCCGCCCGCGGAACCCGAGTCGGCCACAGAGCTGCCGGGGGAGGTAAAGGGGTGGCCGGGGGCGGAGGGAAAACGGACGGTTGGTATCCGTGGAGCCTCCTGGGAGTTGTAGTTTCTGGATGGTGGGGGCGAGGGAGGGCGCCGGGCCCCGGCGGAGGTTATGTGACACAGTTGGGGAACAAAGCCTGCCGGGAGTTGTAGTTTGAACAGCTAACCCAGCGCCGAGTCGGGCATACTGATTGAGCTCGTCACGTGGAACGAGTTTTTTTCTTCTTTCCTTTCGTAACTCCGTTCGTAGTCTTTAAAGCAATAATTTTAGGATAAATTGACGTTTGTGATTCAACAGACTTAAGTTACAGTCTTAAATGATAATAGTTCATTTGTTCAGTACCTTTTGTGTTCCCATACGCTAGTTTATTCCATGGCCCCAACAAACTTGTGAGCTGACTGGATCATGAATTCATTTGTCTGTTTCACTTATTAGGAAGCTGAACCGTAGAGAGCCCAAAGTCACCCAGCTATTAGGTAACAGGAACTAAGGCCCGGTTTTTCGCAACTTTTTTTTCATGTATTGCAACTACATAAAAACTATGCCCCAACTGTACAAAAAGCATATGTGGAGGAAACATGTCTCAGCGATTTAGAACTGGATATCAGAGGGGCCAAGTAATAATTTAAGTTGGGCAATGATTTTGAAGTTACTTTAATTTCAAATTTATTTTGTTTCTTCCAACAGCACAGTAGGATTCTTTGCCAATGGCAGCAGTTGATGTTTTTTGGCAAACTACCCAAACGCAAACTCAGTGTGCAGAATGCCAGGCAAAGGCAAGTAAAAACAGTAAGAGCAAAAATAATGAAAATAGCTTACTTAAGCAATTAGTACTCAAGACTTGTATTTGATTTTATGGTACTGATGGGCTAATGAGTTAGTCTGTTACTGTTTCGTGGATGCTGACAAAAGTCCCAGAATCCCTGGGTGGGAAACAACGAGACTGTTATGACACAGGAAGTAACATGAACTTCAGCACGTTTGTGTCAATTCCTCTTCCCCCAAGTCTATGGGAATGACACCAATGGCTCCGATGAATGCTGTGCATTTGTTTGGTGGATTTACACCACAGCTGAGAAACACTGAGCTTGGGGAACCTGCCATTTTATAGGGAAGCAGTGAGCAAACCTTTGTTCTTTGTGCTGGAGGGAGACATTACTTCATTCCTTAAAGTTGCTCATTATAAACACAACCCTGGGGAATGATCCTGGTAAAGAGCAGTCAGAGTCTTGAATTTTTGGCATACCCAGGAAGATGGGTAGAAGCATGACAGACTCCTGAAGGCCTGTCTCTCAACATTACCCTGTGTCAAACACTTCTAAGTGCTTTACATCTATAATCTCATTTAATCTTCACAACCCTGTAATGTGCCCTATTTATAGATGAATAAATGGGCAGAGAGAGGCCACAAAGCTAATGAACAATCCAGGAGAGGGGCACCTGGGTGGCTCTGTCAGTTGGGTGTTGACTCTTGATTTCAGCTCAGGTCATGATCTCATGGTTGGTGGGATCAAGCCCCACGTCAGGCTCCATGCTGACATGTGGAACCTGCTTGGGATTCTCTTTCTCCCCCCTCCCCACCCTTCTTCCACTCATCTCTCTCTCTCTCTCAAAAATAAATGCATAAACTTAAAAAAAAAAAGACAATCCAAGAGAAGCGACAGGAATGCATAGTTAAAAACAAAAAACAGTAAAAGTTAACTTGCAGAGAGAGATCTGATGACTCATAAAGCAACAGGTGGGCACCTGGGTGGCTCAGTTGGTTAAGTGTCCAACTTTGGCTGGAGTCATGATCTCCTGGTTGGTGGGTTTGAGCCCCACGTCAGGCTCTGTGCTGACAGTTCAGAGCCTGGAGCCTCCTTCTGTGTCTCCCTCTCTCTCTGCCCCTTCCTCTTCCTCTCCCTCTCTCTCTCTCAAAAATAAGTAAACATTAAAAAAGATTAAAAAAAAAAAGCAACAGGCAACCCCCTGAAAGAATTTGTGGACTATGCACAGGTTTCCAGTAGTTGCTCAGGATGGG